AGAGCTCAGCAGACAGTTAGGTTTCACTTTCAGTTTCACCCGAGAGCCTGCAGGAGTCATGGGTGGTGTGTGTGGGGAGGGGGGTGCTCTGCCATGAGGAAGTTCAGCTTAAAGACACGTCCCAGGGGTGTTTCTGGTACCAAAAGGTGTTTCTGGTCCCCACCTGTCGTTTTGCTCCTCAACATGGCTTCATAAAAACACTGCAGGATTTCTTAAACATGCATGAATAAGTCAGAGCAAGGCTTTGGACATGTTATAACATGATATAAAACTCAAAAAAGTTGATTTTACATGATATTGCCCCTTTAACTGGAAAAGACATGTAAATGAAAAGTGTAAGAAGGCAGCAATGTGCCTACACCAGTGCCGTAGAATTTCAGGTAGCCATTGGGGTGCTACCCCAAATGTTATCAGATGGATCTACACGGCCATAGTCCGCCCCATGCTATGCTATGCTGTTTTAGTGTGGTGGGTTCAAGTCCAAGTTGGGGTGGCAAGAGTGATGCTCACCCAAGTGCAACAGATGGCCTGCCTGAGCATCACAGGTTCCATCAGAACAACACCCACGTCAGTCATGGAAGTCCTACTAGACCAGGCTCCACTAGATTTATCTTAGGGGAGGCCGCATCCAGTGCAGTAAGGCTACACCAGTCTGGTAGGTGGAAAAACCCTATCTGACTCACAGCACACTAGAATCTGGGACTGTTCCAGTAACTGCAGGACCTGGAGACAGATTCTGAGCCAAGTTTGAAGACAGAGATAGAAGACAGGTCTGTCTGGATTAGCCTCTATATGACGGACATGTCCCCCAATCATTTCTACTGTTTTACAGATGGATCCCTTCTGAAGGGGTCAGTAGGTGCAGGGGTGCTGATTTTGCACAACCATAGTAAGAGAGAGCATAAATACCCACTGGGTGGTTTTAAAACTGTATCTCAAACTGAGATATCTGCAATCCACCAGTGTGTGGCATCTCTCAAAGACCTTCAGTGTACACAGAAGGAAATATTCATCCTGACAGATAGCCAAGCTGCCATTATAGCTCTCTGAGGGCCACACTTTACATCATTACTGGTTTGGGAGTGTGCCGAAGCAGTCAACCAACTGGGGAGAGTTAACAGTGTTACTGTTAAATGGGTACCAGGACATACTGGCATTAATGATAACAAGAGAGCTGACTACCTCGCAAAAGCTGGCAGTCAGGCTCACTTCAAAGAACCAGAGCCTGTTGTAGGTACCTCAACTACAGTCTGTAGGACTGCCCTACAGGCCTGGATTAGACGTCAACACTCAATCCTCTGGAGGGAGCTGACGGACTGTAGACCGGCATGGGAACTGATTAACGGCCCAAATCTATGGGAAAGCTCTCATCTCCCTGACAAGGAAAACTCTAAGTACACTGGTTGGAGTCCTAACTGGGTACAATCTGCTCAACCACCATAAAATAATGATGGGACTCCATGACAATGGTCTGTGATGCCTGTGCATTGAACTACAGACCTCTTTGCACTACTTATACCACTGCCTGGCTCTGAGCAGTCAAAGGAAAAGAGTTCTTGGGGAACCTTTTATGGATCCTGAGAAGCTCAGAACACTGAGTGTTTCTAGCCTGGTGTCCTTCATCTGAGGGATGAGAAGGTTTGAATAAAGACCAGTGTCTTTATGGGGAGAGCAATGGGCCCACTTAGGAGATCTCCGGTCATATGGGTTCTTTATCCATCCCCACTCACATAAACCATAAACCATAAGTCTCTAACAGAAGAAATGAGGAATAACTCAGGAAACCTAAGCCTAACTATCGTTTCACTTTATCATCATTTAGTCTTAAAAGTAGTGTCAGCTTCATGGACAGAAACTGGAAGTTGTCAGTAATGTAAAAAACAAACAGGCGACTTCATACCTAGTGGTCAGTGATGTCTGGCTTGTTTCTGACAGATATTATGACTGAAATCTGTTGCAAGAGATGGCAGAGAGACTGGTGTCAACCAAGAGCATCATTTGTCTTTACCAACAAAGATACCAGTCCAAAAGCCTGTTGATGAATGAACCAACTAAAGATGTTTTCTTTTTGATTTTTCTACCTGGATTACTGAGATGCATCAGGACACCCATAAGGACCACTTATTTTTCCATTCATCTGACTTTTTAAAATATGGTTAATGTTTGTGTAACACCTCTATCAATGAGTCTTACTGTATAAAAGCTTGGAAACCTGGTCCTCCAGTCTGGATTGTTCTGGTCTGTGTTCCTTCAGGACCGCCTGGGTTCATAAAATTAAAGCAGCTTCAGAGCTCTTCATCGAGACAGAGAAGAAGAAGAGGGAGAAGGCGTATTTAGGTAACCCTCCTTCACACCATCAGGCTCCGGCTGTTTGCAGTACTCTGACCTTGTCCCTGTGTGTCCTTGTCTCTGTGTGTCCTTGTCCCTGTGTGTCCTTGTCTCTGTGTGTCCTTGTCCCTGTGTGTCCTTGTCTCTGTGTGTCCTTGTCTCTGTGTGTCCTTGTCTCTGTGTGTCCTTGTCCCTGTGTGTCCTTGTCTCTGTGTGTCCTTGTCCCTGTGTGTCCTTGTCTCTCTATGTCCTTGTCTCCGTGTGTCCTTGTCTCTGTGTGTCCTTGTCCCTGTGTGTCCTTGTCTCTGTGTGTCCTTGTCCCTGTGTGTCCTTGTCTCTCTATGTCCTTGTCTCCGTGTGTCCTTGTCCCTGTGTGTCCTTGTCTCCGTGTGTCCTTGTCTCGTGTCCTTGTCTCCGTGCCTCTTTGCCTCAGTACGTTCGCAGAGGGCCACAGGAATTGGTCGACTGATGGTCAACATCGTGGAGGGGATCGAGTTGAAACCCTGCCGCTCCCACGGTACCAGATCCTTGTCTTTACATGACTTAGTTAATTCTGGGTTGGACAGTTGGTCCTTTGTTATCCTTAGTCTTCTCCTCACTCCTTCTTGTCTCCAGGAAAAAGTAACCCATACTGTGAAGTGACCATGGGTTCTCAGTGCCATATCACCAAAACCGTGCAGGTAGGCAGAGTTGTAAACTAAATACAAATACTTTGTTACTGTACTTAAGTAGAATTTTTGGGTATCTCTACTTTAATTGAGTAATTATTTTTCAGTCTACTCTTTCCTTTTACCCCTTACATTTTTACACAATTATCTGTACTTTCTAGTCCTTACATTTTTAGAAAAGGTAAGGAGTAGAGAGTTGTTTCTCCTATTTCATTTCGGCTTGTTATTGTTAAAAAAAATACTATCCTGAAAAATCGTGGCTCTTGGATTGAATTTAATTGTTGAATGAGAATTATAAATATAAACCATTCTGATACTGTATTTAAT